CCAAATCTTCTGCCAAGTTAAATAAGTGAAAGGCTTTGATTTACATCCACAGAGACAGATATAGCATCATAAATCAAAAATTTCGTGTCATGAGTGAGGCCAAATCACTTTCAATGTGTCTGTTTGAATCAAAGCACAAATTAACTTACCAAGTTTTACATAATAAAGGAGTCTAATAATAACACAGGGCAGTATTTATGCAAATCAAATAACTGAAAGTCATTCTGTTGAATTGGGCAACCACAATCTGAAGCCGTGCCCCAATTTCTGAACTCACTGCCCTGACTTCTTACTCACTTTAACAGCACTTTTATATAAGTGTGTGCATGAAAGTGTAAGTGTGTGCACATGCACAGCAGGTGTGTTTAATGGAGTTCAATAGAATGAGAGACAAAGAGATTTCATACGTTTGAGCCCAGACGTGGGAGGCTGAGTCACTCTCTGAGGAAGAGGGTCAGTCCGAACCCAAGCAGTAGATATTGTGTTGTTTTTTTTACTGTGTGTGTGTGTGTGTGCTGCTGCTGCAAGCTTGCATGTGTCAGGGTTGATTGAAATCTCACCAATCTGGCTGGCTTTCCAGTCCTCAGGGCAGAGCTTCATTGAAGAAACCTTCCTCCCTCCCTCTCTCGATTAAACACTGTACGATAGAATAATCACACTAATGTATTTCTTTCATCGCCTACTAAAGCAATCTGCTTCGTTTTGATCACTTTTGCATGAAGCGTTTCATCCAATCGTTTTTGAAAAGTGGCCTGAGCAGCTGGTAATTGAGTGGTGGAACTCGATGAGAGGTGCAAGCCCCCCCCCATCCCATCCCACCCCGACGCATACTGACATAACTGCCTGGGCCTTGTTCCCTGCTGGCAAGAGATGAACTAAAAATCTCTCTTGCTGATTATTAGCAGATGAAAAAAGAAGATCCGCAGGGCTCAGTGCAGGGGAAAACAAATATTATCGACTTCTCACCGCAGCTACTATTTATTCTCCCCTTTTTCTGTCCATGTATTTGTTTTTGAAACTGTTAAGATTCTTGCCCCGGAATATTTTAGGGGTAGTCTTTGATTGAGCTGCAAAGGAATGCCTTTAATCGTGGCTACAAAGGAACCGAGGGACATGTCCCCGTCAGTTTTGCAACAGATCCAGACAGATTGAGGAGGAGGAGGAGGCGGAACGGAGGAGTTAGCATTGTTAACAGTCTGTGGGGAACTGTTTGCGTGCCCTGTGGTTTCTAGTCCCTGTGAAATGGAGACTCAGTGATTCGGTTTCCCAGGCCCCTTTTTCTCAGGGCCATACAAAAACCAAATGAAGACGTTTCAGTCTATCCTGGGCGCCATTTATAGTCCAGTGGCAGCATGACTCTAAGTGGTGGTTGGCACCAATGGTGGCACATGGAGAGAGTTTGCAGCCATCTGTTTATAAGTGGTGTGCATATCTAAAATAGAAGAAAACTTTAACTCTTGTCAACAATGCAAAACATAGACACTGTGATCATGGAAGTGGTTGCCCTCAGAGGAGAGCAAGAGGAAACTCAAGCCAGCCGCTCCTTCTGAGCCTGTTTGGCTCAGCTTCGGGATTATTATCTACTTTATTAGGTATGATTGCACAGTCCCATGTATCAACATGTTTAATATCGCAACACGATCAAAACATGACCAACTAAGCCTCAAGATTCAAAATAACCCTTGTGATTTCAGCGTATTGGCACATCTCTTTTCTGTAAGTAGCTTTTTTTCTACTTTTCCGACAAACCTACAGCATAAAAGAGAAGAGGTCATGGCATCAATGAAGGAGGGCATTAAAATATTTTTGTATTTCTTTCTTTTACTTTGTTAAGGGCCAAGTTCAACTTTAGGCCTCTAATTTAGGCCTAGTAAATGTGCACTGGTAGAGGCAGCTGGGAGGGCAGCATGCAGGCCAGACCATGACTTCCTTAAGAGGAGCTTCCTCTCAGGCCACATGCCAGGTCTGAAAACGTCATGCAGGGCAGATTCTGAAGTCAAGATTATTCCATTTAGTTTTCACCTTCAACTTCATGTAGAGAGAGGTACTCTGGATTTGATGTCTTAGTGTCTTTGAGTACTTCACCATGACCCAAAGCCTTCTCTGTTATTCTCTATATCATTGCTTTCAGAGCTTTTCTTGTTTGACGTATCATACATATGTGTTTACTTCAATGGACTGTAAATGGAATGTTATGTAGCACTTATTTTTGTATCCAATTGAATTGTCTTTTTTTTAGTCAGAGTTCTGCCTTTTTCCACTTCAGCTAACTACAGTCTTAAGACACCTCTGCTCACTTTCTGACAAGTTCCCCGTACTCTCAATCACATAGCGTTTCTTAAGGTGATACAAATTACTCCAGTTGGCTCTATAATTATTGTGACAGTGATTTCTTAATGAGCAGAAGTGCTTCATAACTTCACACTTTCCCTCATAACATATTCTGGCAGCTGCCAAATAATCCCCTGGGGTACAACAAAGGCACAATCTCCAGGTGTGAAAAGTGAAAGCCAATGCAGGAAGTGCCTTTTCCCTATATTCTTTCCTTTAGCGAGCAGAAAGACAGTTACAAAGAAGTCCTTTTTTATAGAAGTCTTTGAAAAAATGACCGAACTAGGACCCTATTTCCCACTTGATGTATTACCTCAGTAAACATTTTCCTTACAAGTTATTTCCTCAATCGTTCAAGTCTTCTTCAATACAGGATGATGTTTCATTTTGTAAATGACGGTTGCTTTAAGAGTAAATTAGACGATAATGCAGGGTAGATATAGATATATACTTTATTGATCCCAATTTTGGAAAGGTATGCTTTATGGCGGTAATACATTGTGATTGACAACACGCTGTTGTCCGTGTTTTCCTCATAGAACTTTAAGCCTGTCATCGTGTGTTTTCAGTTCTCCAATTGTTCTAAGCTCCATCCTCTTGTCACTTTTGGTTCAAAAAGAACAAGATGGCAACAGCCAAATAATGAGCTTGAGGCTTCAAAACATTAACTAATGGGTGATATCACAGTTACTACGTCCAATTCGTATAAACAGTCTAAGGTTATACTCTGGATTGTAATCACTTGTCTGGAGGTCATTAATACAGATGTTGTTTGTGCAGAAGGTATTTAGCTGGCTTGTTTCTAGGGCTGCTCAATTAATCGTATTTTAATCGCAATTACAATTATGGCTTGCAACGATTACGAAAACAACGTAATCGAAATAAAACGATTATTTTTTTATTATTACTTTTTTTTTTTTTTTGGTTTTTCAGTTGAATTATCCTTAAAGTTCAGGGTAATCAACTGTTAAAAACATACTGCTCAAAAAAAATGCTCCAATAAATGGATGTTTTCAAAGTAAATGGATAATCGTTTTTTAATAATCGTGATATCAATTATTGACCCACATAATCAAGATTATGATTTTTGCCATAATCGAGCAGCCCTACTTGTTTCCCAACTAGCTTCATCATCTCAACTCATAGTAGACATCATAGGAATTATTCGTGGTATGTGAATCCACTGCACTCTCCAATCTCTACACAAAGGGTGTTTCCCTACTTCCTTCTTTTACCTACAAGCCCCACCCCCGGTCCCCCAAATCTGTCTCCTTCTCCTCTCTCCCTCCTTGTGACAGACATGCACAAGCCCTTTGCAAAACATTACGTCAATTCCCCTGGACGGGGGTGCCAGCTGTTGATGTCACCCATGGGTCTTTTTTAATTTAGGGATTTCCGCTGGGTGAGATGAGGGGGAGTCCCATGACCTCAGCCCACAGCCACATGAAGGGGCCCACCGGGGCAGAACCATGCCGGGACAGGCATATAGGGCAGGGCAGGACAGGGCAGGGTGGGACCGCCCTGCTGGGTGAGCGCAGGGACCGGGCCCCTCATGGTGATCTGGGAGGACGGGCAGCATCGTGTTGGTGCTCTTATTGATGTCATGTGAGGAAATTGGGGATGTTCGGGGATGTATAGGAGCGGTTTTCTCCTTTTTGGACAACCTCGTACCCGTGACAGCATGTCTGTGACTTGCAAACACTGCTGCTATCCTTTGAGCTCTTAAATGCAGCCTTTCAGCAGCTACGAATTTCCTCCCTTTCAGAGGGGATCAAATGTTCCTACCAAAGACTATCTCTGGCTCTTTCAGTCCTCAAGGCTTTCAGTGGGAGTGAACATCACCATCCATGTAATTGATTTTTCAGGGTGCTAAAGTTTTTTCCTCTTGATAACAACTGTGAACAGTATAGAGCAGAAACGCCTTCATTCAACACATAAAAGCTTCTTTCAAGTGCAATTGTCCCAAACATTATCTTCCTCTCTTCTTGGTTATGGTCCAGTCTTTACTTTAGGTCACATGCTGTCAGTAACATGTGTTTTTGTATCTGGAGGTTAGTGTCTTATTCTGCTACAGTTGTATCGTTTTTCAAATTCCCCGTCACAAAGCTTTAAAAGATGAGTACAATAGAGGAGTACAATAATCAAAACCAAATGGTTGGTGAAAGTGCAATAAAGACGAGGAAGTTTACCAAAGTAAATTCAAGTATGTCACAAGTTTGAAATGTTTCTATCCCCATCTGCTTAACAAATGTTTTCTCATCTATCTGCATATGTCTTGTAAATATCACTGGTATTTGAGATACATTTTAAAGTGCTCAGTTTTTCTCCAGTTATTCTCCATCTTTCTGTTAGAAAAAAATAACAGCTGTAATTTGTATTCTGTACTGTCTCTTTAAGAAACCATCAATGTGGTCAGTTATTGTTATATTTTCAAAAGAAAGTGCTGATTTACACAATCAAATCAAATCTCTTGACATTGTTTTACATTTTTAGTACAAATATTACAAGTTTGTAATACAGTTAGGCAGATGAATCCCCGTCTAGTTGTTGTCCTTTCTGCCCATTTGAATAAGGACAATTGAGTGAGATTCAACACCCCTAGGGATCTACTGATTGACCTTTCTTGTTGTCCTTGTGAAATGATAACCTTTTCTCTTTTTCTCTTGCAGTATCACCCTCTGTCTCTGTGCAACACAAGTGAAGATGAACGCCAAGAGGGTGACTTCATCACCATTGTCAAACTGGAGCACAGTGCACCCCGCTGTCTGCCGCTGGTTGATAAGGTAATGATCACACAAACACACCCTCTGAGAAGCTCCCCTCTCTGTGACCCCTTCCCCTCTCGAACATGGCAGCAGACAGATACTTCCTCTTGCCATCTTGTCTTCTCTCCATTACCCCTTCCGCTCTTGGATTTACTGTACACTTTAAAGAGAAGATGGTTTAAGAGTGAATTATTTGGCAAGAGCTTAATGTTTTGTTTAGGACAGTGATCTTTCAGAGTGAGGGCTTGGACAGGAGGGGGTGGGCTTAGCTCAGCGCTGCTATGTAGCAAGTGGCAGTGAGCCCTGGCTTTGGATGTAAGACTTTCAAGCCCCAGCTGTCACTGGTCCGATCCCGGCTAGCAGGCCAGAGCCAGACACTCTCCATTTCTTCCCCCCTCTAATATGGACGCAGCCATAGATTCCACCCACAATGGTTTAGATGTATGTGCGATGGAGTTGACCCAAATACCCCTTGTGTTTAAGTATTCCGCCATTTCCTAACTCTAAAGCAGCGTGATTTAAAACTGTTGCTATTTTTTCCCTTGTTTTTCAAGTGGTGACAAATTAGCAGGCAGGAGTCTAGTTAGGCGACTGACTTTTTTTAGCCCGTGTTTTCTTTTCCCCTAATTTAAAGCCATGTTTAGGAACTGCCCGCCGTGGCGACGATGTAGAGACATTCCCACACTTTCCCCGCTCCTTTCTTCCTCCTGCTGTTTCTGCTCCCTCAGTGGGAACCAAACCAAACAGGCTAAAACCAAGGGGGGGTGGGTGTCACTCAAGGCTGTCTCCAGAAAACAGTTTTGATTAAAGCCTTAATGGCAACACTATGTTGTCCCATAAACAAAACACAGTCTCTTCCTAATGCGAAAGTGCCTTCCAACAAAAGGCTGTTGCTTCCGAGTGTTTTCTCCCCTCCCTTCAGATCGCCTTTGAAATCAGGAGGAGAAGGGGAGGGGAGGACATCAGGGTCTTGTTGTTTTGGTCTTCTGGAAAGTATGTGTTCCAATAAACTCCACTCCAGCCACCTGCATCCTCGCTTCCTTTAGAGAGATTCAAAGCTTTTGGTCGCAGTGGATTTATTGGGGATTCATCATGCAGCTGTTGAGGAGCTTGCTGTCGGCCTGTAAAGGAGGATGAATCAGATGGTTTGGGATGTGCGGTGCTGGGTCAGCCGTGGTCTCTGGATGGGACTTGTTTACAGTTTAGTCTGACTGCAGCAGCCCGCCCCACTGATCTATAGATACCTCCACAGCCACAGAGGGTTCGTGTTGCACCACACACACTCAGAATAGACTGTAAACCAAACAAAGTGCAGCGCAAAACCTTGAAGGATAAGGTTTCATTGTTGTGCTTTGTTTTTATTTTGTTTTTCAGAGGTTCTTATCCGCAACGACATCATGAACAAGAGAGATTCCTTGGCTGATATGCACTGATCTGTGCTGTCTCTCAAGTGCCACATTTTCTTCTACCTAATGGAAGTTTAAAGTGTATCTCTATGCTGTTGTTTTGAAGGTGCATAACATGTTTAAATTAAATAGAAATACAAATATTTCTTAATGTTTTTAATCATCAACCTCTCCTTGTGCGTTCTGCGCTACACACCGCCTCTTACCCACATAAAAAAAAAAGTATAAAATTAGCAGTTTTCTTTAGATGTACTGCTACCTGAATGAACCTTTTAGTGAAGTTAAAGTAGTCCTATTTCAGAAGGATATAGTTCACCTTAAGGGGCCCTAGTATGCTTTTTGGAGGTATTCCCTTTCCTGTGTTGTGTTATATACATTTGTGTGCATGTAAATGGTCTGCTAAGGCTTCAATCTGAAATCTCAATAGAGGTCCAAAATGCAACTATGAAACATAAAAATAGAATAATAGGGCCTCTCTAAAAGATCCCTACTATACATTATAGATAAACGAGTTATATGTCACTTTTCCACATTAAAAGGCCTAAAATCAACGAGTTGTTTGCTTAGAAGCATCTACAATCAGAACTATTCAAACCTACAGCTATTGCTTCCGTCTGTCTTTCAGATACAGCTATTTTTTTCTCTCTCTCTCTCTCTCTCTCTCTCTCTCCCTCTCTCTCTCTCTCCCTCTGTCTTTCTATGCAATTGCCTGAATGAAAACCCTGCACCGCTCCAGTGGTTTTGCATCATTACACAACACAACATGAGCGGAGGCCACGGGCTTTCTCTGCCAGCATGTTTTGCTAGGAGTGATCCGTCTGCTTTCCACTAGCTCTGTTTACACTCGAGGCCTGGAAGCGTTCTCAAGCTAAGTCACGGAGCAACACATGACTCAACGAGAAGCGGCGTGGCAGCGCTGCCAGCAGGGCTACTGTAAACTCCACGCCAGGCTTGCTTTGCTCACAATAAATGTGGTAATCTGTGCTTCTTCAGACACCGAGCTCACTTTCTCCTACTGCAGCTCCATGAATCAGCATCATTTTAAAAAATCCACGATTTGTGAAAGTAGTTTTCACAGTACGGTGATTGAGTTTTAGGCCCATGTCTGAACTTGTTGAGTCCCATAGAAAACCTTGCTTATTGATTCTGCTCCTCTCAGATGAAAAGGGGTTTTGGAAGGATTGTGCAGTAATCCTTTTTTCTTTAACTAGGGTTTGTGTGTGCTTGTGTGTATGCATACTACTGTGTGTGTGTGTGTGTGTGTGTGTGTGTGTGTGTGTGTGTGTGTGTGTGTGTGTGTGTGTGTGTGTGTGTGTGTGTGTGTGTGTGTGTGTGT